CAGTGAAAATTATAATACACTGAAAAAGGAAATTGAAGATGATCTCAGAAACTGGAAAGACATCCCTTGCTCATGGATAGGAAGAACAAACATTGTGAAAATGGCCATTCTCCCAAAACTGTTATACAGATTCAATGCAATCCCAATAGAAATACCATCAACATACCTTATAGATCTAGAGAAATCACTCCTAAATTTCATCTGGAACCAGAAGAGACCTAGAATCACACAGGCAATTCTAAGCAGCAAAGGCAAAGCAGGAGGCATCACAATCCCTGACTTGAAGTTATACTACAAAGCAACAGTAGTAAAATCAACATGGTATTGGAATCAAAACAGAGCCAAAGATCAGTGGAATAGATTAGAAGATACAACCACAACTACGAACACACTCAACCACCTTATCTTTGATAAAGGAGCCAAGCAGGTTCACTGGAAGAACGACAGTCTCTTTAATAAATGGTGCTGGAAAAACTGGCTCTCCATTTGCCAAAAACTAAAGCTAGACCCATGTCTATCACCATGTACTAAATTAAAATCTAAATGGGTCAAAGATCTGAATATTAAAAGAGAAACACTAAATCTATTGGAAGACAAATTAGGTAGAAACCTTGGAGACATAGGAGTAGGTAGAGAATTCATGAACAGGACTCAAACCGCACGGGAAATACTTCCCAGAATCAATAACTGGGACCACTTCTTATTAAAAAGTTTCTGCATGTCAAAAGAAATCTCCAGCATAGTGAAAAGAAAATCCACAAACTGGGAAAAGATTTTAGTGAACTCTCTCTCAGACAAGGGACTCTTGTCTAAAACATATAAAAATTAAAGAAACTCAGACCTCCAAAATTCAAAGATCCAATCCAAAAATGGGCATCTGAGATGAATACGCAATTCTCAGATGAAGAAATGCAAATGGCAAATAAATACATGAAAAAATGCTCATCATCTTTGGTCATTAGAGAAATGCAAATTAAAACCACACTGAGATACCATCTCACTCCTGAAAGAATGGCCAGGATCAAGAAAACCGACAACAAATGCTGGAGAGGCTGTGGGGAAAAAGGAACTCTCCTGCACTGCTGGTGGGAGTGTAGACTGGTACAGCCTTTGTGGAGATCTGTCTGGAGATTTCTCAAAAAGTTGGGACTGGAAATCCCATTTATTCCAGCTATTCCACTTCTAGGCATATTCCCAGAAGAACTGAAAGCATCATACCACAGTGATATATGTGCACCTATGTTTATAGCAGCACAATTTGTAATCGCCAGATCTTGGAAACAACCCAAGTGTCTATCAACTGAGGAATGGATAAAAAAGTTGTGGTATTTCTATACAATGGAGTATTATTCAGCTATAAAGAAGGATCACATTGAGATATTTATCAATAAATGGGCGCAGCTTGAGACCATACTCATAAGTGAAATAAATCAATCTCGCATGTGTGAATACCGAATAGTTTCCCTAATGTAAGTAATGATTCAAATATATTAAAATATGTGGTAATCATGATTCCCCATTAGGTGGCCTTGGAGCCTTATAAAGTTTTCACTCATTAATTAGAAAGGCTTTATTCTGGGCTTCTTGATATGAAAATATTTGAAGCTAGAGTATATGAAGTCTTATCCAAATATTTCAAGGAAAAAGACACTATGGTAACTACTATTAAGTCAGGTTATATGGTGGTGAAGTACTAGGTTGTTGAAACAGTCATGCTGTGACCTCTATTGTTATATTGTTATGTCCTGTTTTATCTCAATCTCTCCCTTATTGTTTTAAAAAAATTATTTAGTCATTTCTTATGTTTGTCTTAATTAAAGAAAAAATTCAAAAAATTAGGATATATAAATAGTAACTCTTTTTGATTTCCTATTAACTTGTTTTGAAGTCCTGTAGTACTCCCACGATCTTGTTTTGACTGATTAGACTCTGTTCCATTCCATATGATAGTATCAAGTTTGAAGACATAGGCAACTACTTTGAAGACAATAAGATTCACTAAGATACCCATTCTGGTTTGACTATTGTCTTCTTTGGAAGTCCTGTAATGTTTACAATGCCTAAGTTTTATTGGTCTTGTTCTCTACTGTTTTGTCCAACTTTATAATATCTAATGAGATAGACAATTCTTTTTAAGGAAACAAGGGACAACGTTGATAACCATTGTTGATAAACTTGTACTCTGTTCTACACCATGTGCTATGTCTATCCCTGGTATTGACTGACAGCTTTGTTTTGCCATATTTGACTGTATTCTTTCCCCCACCAAAAAGTAATAAGCACTAAGGAGTAATAAAAAAAAGGGTGGACATAATAGATAATATAAAAACATAATACAAGGTGATCATCAATGGTTACCATAATGCCTCCCACTATCTCTAATAGAATTGCCTATATATAGGTAATTTCTAACAAGAACTATAAGATTAGTTTACAGCTGTGACTGTTTTCAGATTGAAAATTAAGAAACAGATTACTTTCTACTTTTTGGCTTACACATTGATAAATGAATTCATTTCTTTGATTTTATATCCAAAAATAATCAAGCAGTAGTTCTAGAAATGAAAAATAAAACTAAAATAAACAATAGCTAAGAAGGAAATCAGGACGTAGATCTTTCTAACTTTATGAGGAAAAGAGAGAAACACTGGGATCTGGGGATTTAGCTCAGCGGCATAAGCGCCTGCCTTGCAAGCAGGTAGTTGTGAGTTCGAACCCCGGTACCGATAAAAAAAAGAAAGACAAAAAAAAGAGAAACAGAAATTTCATTTTAAAAAGATAGGGGAATAACAATAGTGCATTATATGTTGTTATCGTTAAAGTAGTTTCTCAGTGTACAAGATATGAGCATAAAAATTTCTCCAATAGATATTAAGACAAGTCTTCTTTTTTAATGAACAAAGACACACTAAAAAAGTGACTGGCTTGTGTTTTTTTACTTTTTCTTGCTGACCTTTCCCCTTTCATCCATCAGAGTTCCTTTTTCCTTTTGAACAATTTCTTCCCATCTCATAATATCCATTATACATTTTACACCTTATTTACTCTTTTGCTTTCTCCCACCAGGAAGACAATATGATATTTACACATGTGAATCTGATTTATTTCACTTGTGAGTACGGGATGAAGTTGTATTCGTTTACGTATAAAGGTTGCAGGTTTATTCTTCTTTATAGAGGAATAGTATTCCATTGTATAAAAGTATCACATCTTGTTGATTCATTCCTCAGTTGATGGGCATTTATATTGTTTCTAAGACTTAGTTATTACAAATTTAGCTGCTTTAAATATGGCTGCACATTTATCACTGTAGTAAGATATTTTTAATTCTTCTGGGGAGATACTCAGAAAGATAATACCTGTGTAGAGTAGGACCTCTAATCCTAGTTTTTTGAGGAATCTTCACACTAATTCTGAAGTGGTCATACTAGTCTACATTCCCACCAACAGAGAAGAGTTCCTTCTTCTCACAGCACCACCAGCATTTGGTATTCATTGATTTGTTGATGTTAACCATTATTTCTGGGGTGAGATGGGATCTCAACATTGTTTTAATTCACATCTATCAAACAACCACTGATACTGAACGTTTTTCCATCTATTTACTTGTCATTTGTATTTCTTCATCTGAGAAATATTCACTCATCGCAAATGGGTTTTTTGATTTTATTGTCTGTGATGGTATGAACAGCTATTTTGAAGAAAACAAGGAATTATAATAGCTAGTGCTGATTTAATATCATCTTGTTTTGAAGTCCTACCAAGCTTTTGTTCTTCTGTCTCCACTGGTTTTATCATGTTGTATCTTATTGTATTTTATTAGATGTGACAGTATAAAAAATTTTTTTATGGACAAGGAGACAATATAGTAACCATTGTTCATTTTCATGTTAGTTGGTTCTGAATACCTTGTAATACTTTCATTCTCTTGAATGGTTTTATACTGTCTTGTTATGTTTGATACTATAGTATATGAAGGTATACTCAAATATTTCAAGAAAAGAGACACTGGTAGCTACTGTTAAGTCGAGTTGTCTTGTGGTGTAACACTATGTTGCTTAAATTGTTCTGTTCTGAAAAAAAAAGCCTATGACTTGAAAATGTTTAAAGTAGGGAAAAGTAGAAGTGAACCCCACATGCCTCTCATTACAGAGGGTCCCTTTAAGCAGAAGATCATAAGTAAGTTGTTCATTAATGCAGTAAATATCTAAATTACTGCATCCTGGCTGTCAGGTTGCCAGGGGAAGGATACAATGATAAACAAGACAAATGAGGAGACAATAGGAGGCTTGAGGAATCTTGTCCTTTTCCTTCACACTCTTGTGAAGCAGGGAGATAATAAGAGCCTTACAGAGAATGAGCTATGAAGCCTCTGCAGGCATGGTTGGGTTTCATTTGCTAAGATTTGGGTATCATTTCATGACCTATCAAGAGGTTCACAATAGTATTCTACATGTCTTAGTTACATTTCTTGTTGCTGAGACAAAATACCCAGGACCCAAAGTTAAAGGTAGAAAGGTTTATTTAGCTTACAGTTTCTAGAGGTTTCAGTTCATAATAGGCTGTTTCCCTGGCAAGGTGCCTAGGCAGAGGTGAACAGTTCATAGGGTACAGACTATAGCAAAGTGGAGAGAGAGAGAGAGAGATTTATGCAGGCTACCTGCCATAGGGCAAGTGTGGCAATAATACCCTTAATCCCAGCACTAGACAATAAATTAATCACAAATTCTATATTTGACCAACTCCAAGAATCCTGTGCCCCATGACCACATAAGCTTTGGGAGATAACCAGACACAAACCATAACACTAAATAATCCATTTTAGTAAAGCATGTGTATTAGAAAATGTTGAAGATGAACAGAATCCTTCGAGAAGATGAGAAGAGTTCTCAGAAGGATATTGGCTCTTGAGAAAGGTTAAGTGTTTTGGCAAAAGAAGTCAACTGACAGGACAGGTAACTAGGGAAAGGCCAAGGAAAAGAATGAGTCAAAAAGATTCAATGAAAGATGATGGCCAAAGCCAGAGCACTGAAGTTTCCAAAAACAAAGTCCTCATTGGATTGGTGAGATTTTCATGCCCAGAAATAAGATATTCATACTTCCCTAAAGCATTTCTTTATGCTATTAAATTTATAATTAATGACACTTGCTATATATCCTAAACTCTGATACGCCCAATTCTTGCTTGTAATCCCATAGTTGATCTCCATTTGGCTGAGACATAGTCATTTTCTTATGTAAAAACCCTAAACAAGGAGACCCTTTGGCAATCAGTTCAGCACCTCCTCCCCACCACCACCAGGTTCATTTGCCTAGAGAGTATTTGCTTTTCTTTTGCAATTAATATTGATTTCTGCTTTTGCTCTACAATAAAACACCTTTTGCTCAGTGTTCTTTTGAGGTTCTACCCTGTATTTCCTTCCAGATTGAAAAAAGAACCACATGGTAACAGTTGGAGACCTGAGGCTGCAGAAGTTCAGAAAGCCAGTGGCAAATCAAATGTCCAGCCTTACTTGTACAAGTACGTGGATATATCAGAGAGTAGCGGCTATTCATGATAGTGTTTGAGTGAACTATGTGGAGCTCAGGAACGGATGGTAAATTTGTCCCGTTACCTGGACAGTTAATCAGACATTGAAAAAAAAAAATCCTTCATACGTTTTTGTATTAAGAAAAAGCCTTGAGCAAAGGAAAAACTAAATGCTATGAAATTTATCGAGAGATGTCATCCAGCAACCTTTTCATTCACACCTTGTTACTATTTTAGAGTTACATATACTCATAAAAGGTAATTTTCTCTAAATTGAGAAGTTTCTTATATAACTGTATGTCTTACATTGAGATTTTAAAATCAGAACCAAGATCCCCAAGAGAAAAGTGGTTCTTTTTTCATCTCTTTTTGCTTTGATGTGCCAAAGTTGGATGTTAAGGATGATATTTTCCCCTAAGTTTGATTAGCTACCCTCATTAAGGGCCTGGAAAACTCTTCTGTCCACCTTTATGTTCCTAGTGCTTTGTTTAAAATAAAAGGGGTGTGTGTGTGCAATAAAAAATGGAACTAAGTTAAATGGTTACTTGGTTTGGTGGGCAATGCTCAAAATTAACTAAAGCTACCAATATGGTTTTCATTACCAAATTACTGATTTACAAAGGAAAATCTATGCAGCGCTTCCTTAGTGCCATGTCCCAAAACAGGGAAAACACTAAGAACCAGATATTCTCATCATTTGCATCTCCTGTACAAAAACTAAGAATTCTGAGATATACAAATGCAATGAATTTGAAAATGATGTGCCAACTACTTCCACCTGTGACGTGAATAGTGGGAGTTAGCAAGGATATGTCCCTCAGTTGCTAGGAAAGACATTTTCCTTCAGAATCCAGGGAGGAGCATCAACTCAGGATGGCTAAACCCAGCAATTTTTCAGAACATGAAATTCCATCATCTGTCATCATCTTAATTTTTACAATCATAGGCATTGAAAGCTTCATTGGGATCATCGTAAACAGTTTCATCGTGGCTGTAAATGTGACCATATGGATTCAGAAAAAGGCTGTTTCCAACAGTGGGAAGATCCTGCTTTTCCTGAGTGCTTCCAGAATAGCTCTCCAAAGCCTCATGATGGTAGAAATTATCTCAATCTATACATTTCCAATTACTTTTTTCAAAAGTATCATCTTTCGTATGTACAAAGTATGTTTCACATTCTTAAGTTGTTGTGGCCTCTGGTTTGCTGCCGTGCTCAGTTTCTTTTACTTTGTGAAGATTGCCAACTTCTCCTACCCCCTTTTCCTAAAGCTGAAGTGGAGAATTTCTGGATTGATTCCTTGGCTCCTGTGGCTTTCCGTACTTATTTCTTTCAGCTCCAGCATGTCCTTCCACAGGAACATTTGCATTGTGAGTTACAACAGTTCTACTTCCCACCACCCCAACCACACAGAGACCTTTGTGGCCAAGCCGGCTGTTTTCTTTAACCTGGGGGTTTTCATTCCACTGATTATTTTCATCATGACAGCCACTCTGCTGATCATTTCTCTCAAGAGGCACACCCTGCTGATTAAAAGCAGTACCACTGGCTCCAGGGACTTCAGTATAAAGGCTCACATGGGGGCCATCAAAGCAATCAGTTACTTTCTCATCCTCTACATTTTCAATGCAGCTGCCCTGTTTCTCTTTCTGTCCTTTTCTAACCGCTTTTTCTGGACTGTTTTGCTCAAAATCATCATATCTACTTATCCAGCAGCCCACTCAATTCTACTGATTCAGGACAACCCTGGGTTAAGAAGAGCTTGGAAGCAGATTCAACCTCAAATTCACCTTTGTCCAAAAGAGTGGATTGTGAGATGAGCACCTAAGGAGATGAGACAACAAGCCCTGCCCTTCCATCAAGTAGACTTCTGTCTTTCTTCCTCATTTCTCCCTCAAATCTAATCCAATACTTTTACTTGCTGTGAGTTTTTGTATAGGAGGTTGATCTTCATTTTTGTTTTACTTCATAGGCACAATCCTACTAATGCTTCATGTATTTTTTGCCTGAGTTTACTATGTCCACCTACTGTCTTGCTATGTCTATAGCTTTGATTTTAGAAACTGACTCCATATTAAAATCTCCACAGTTGATTTTTAAAAACATGAATGTCTAAGTCAAATCTTGGATCTTGTAATAAATTAAATCATTACTTCTGGTGTTGGAACTTAGCCAATTCCATAAAGTCTCCAGGTAATTCTGATGTGCAACCAGCATTCATACAGTCATCAAAATGAAGGTTCTGAAATTTAGACCTTGATAACTCTACTATTTCTCATCTACACACATTTTAAGCACATTCAAAATTATATGTGGTAGGAAAAAAGGAGAAATTTATCTAGAATTTATCTAGATGGGAAAGAAATCAAGGGATGAAGGGAGGGAAAGTAGATATGCAAAGTATTGTGATGTGTTATGTACCTGTACCAGCTCCACACAATGAATGTAATCATTATGTACTGCAAACATATACTAAGACAAATGATAAAGCTGAAGATATCTCAGAATAGAATTCTGTTAAAGTTTCCTTCAAAAAAAAATCTAGACCAGACATAGAGGTGCGTATCTGTAATCTCAGCATGCGGGAGGCTGAAGCAAAAAGATCTTGAGTTCAAGACCAGCCTACTCTATGCAGTGAGTTCAAGGCCAGTCAAAACTACATAGCAAGACTCTGTCTCCAATAAATAAATAAAGTGGAAATATCTCTCAAGATTAATAACGTATAAAATACCTCTCAACTTAAAAAAAACTCTCCAACAGTTTTCCTATAGACATGACTATAAATTTGTATATATATGAAAGTATGCAAAGATCTTTAATTAGAGCTTTGTTTCTTAGTAAGGAGACTCAATGAAATATTAAACCATGTGTGGAGGTAGGGAACATGAATTTGGTGTATTAGATATCTAGGAGGTAATGAATTATATTGCCCTTATGTTATTTGGATTATTTGGACATCCTATATCACATGCTTATATCATTTTTGAGGTCTCTTATCAAAATAATTGGACAGAACTAAGAGTGCACTTTAGTTTCATAGATTCTGGATTGTGACTCATTTTAGTAATCAAAAATATTTAATCATTGTCTTTGTCAATTCTGTATGCTTTAAATTTTTTGTTAACTGCTTATGCTTTGTCTCATACACACTGTTTTTACTAAAATGACAATTTTAAGCTAAAAACACAGGAAGATTATGGTGTTTTCTTAATGGCACCTTTTATTCCTATTTTATATATATTGCATTTAAATTATTAGCTGAATTTTGCTGGTGTTCCTTGTTTGTTAAACAATAAGAAATGTAATGTTAGCATGCCCTCTAATGGACTCTGACATAAAAGTCTATGAAAAGGGTCTTTTTATGAAATCCAGTTTATAGTTCATTCAGGTTTCTATCTGTTCCTTATAGGACTTTACCAAACTATAGTTACTCTGCCAGCTAGTTAAAGGATTTTACAGCAACTGTCACATCCTTAAAGCAGAGGATAAGTTCTCTAGTACCTTGTGGTAAACCTCCATTGAAGCCAATGGCCAATGGAATGTTGACCAGAGAGGTACCTGAATCCCTTTCCAGAGACAGATCTCTAGTTTTGTGAACCAATGAAAAGTGAAAGGACAACTAAGGAACCATTTCCAGGGCACCTCTCTTGCACATGGCCAAAGGTTCCTCAGTGGAATCTGGGTCCCAACAGCCGGATGGCATCCAGCAGAAAAATTTCCATTTATCTTTTGTACTTTTCTCTCTGCTACTAACCTAGAAATTTGCCCTAAATTTTTCTCCAACCTATGAGAAGTTAACTAGAGAACAACCTTATTAGATTACCCTCCCTCCAAGAAATCAGGCTTAGCTGAGGCAGCTTGCAATAACTGTTTGCCTTTCAAGGAATAAAGCAGTTATCAAGGAAATGATTTATATTTGTGCCTTATATATGATAACTAAGAGTAAGAAAGAGATTTTAGTCATTCTTTCTCTTCTTTCATGTACACATAGAAGACTAATTAATGTACCTTTACTAAATGTGCATGGTCCTTGCTAGGTGATGGGTATAAATTTAACTTGTGAGCTTCAGAGTGCAGATTTTTAAAATGGACTTGAAAAAGTATAGCCTTGTCTTATTACTAAAGAAGGTTGCTTAGGTGAACAAGTAAATAACAAGAATGTTTTAGAGACTTCACCCTAAGCCTAGGGTGGAATTTTTCTCCAATCCATTTTTACCTGACTCTGTCTTTTGAGATGATCTCTCTTTTTTTTTTTTTTTTTTTTTTTTTTTTGTCTTTTTCCTTTTTATCGGTACCAGGGATCGAACTCACGACTGCCTGCTTGCCATGCAGGCGCTTATTCTGCTGAGCTAAATCCCCAGCCCTGAGATGATCTCTTTTGCAGGTTAAGAATTTGTATCAGTCAGAGTTTACTTGACAAAAAGACATAGCACAAGATATACAACTGTATAAGAAATTACAAGATTGGTTTACAGTGGGCAGCCACAAAGTTGAATAAAGAAGCATGCAGAGGGTATCTGCACGCTAGAGGTTGAAAGGTCCAGTCCAAGGATTGGAACTTACTGCAGTGATCCATGCAAGTCTGTATCAGGAGGCTGATCAGTTTATCATAGAACACTGAAGAATCTACAATGAAAGGCTGAAAGTCTATGATGAAGGCTGAAGAACTAGCAACAAAGGTTAAAAAGTCTATAATGAAGGCTAAAGAATCCTAGGCACAAGCCAAGCAGCTTGTGCCAGAAGCCAGGAGATGACATTCAAGCCTAAGGCAAAGACTGGAGCTCCTCCAAAGAAGCAGTACTCAATCCCTCCTCATTTGCCTTTTATTGTATGCAGGCTACCCCTAGAATGGGTATGGCACTCACACCACCTACCTGCTCTCCTCTTTCACAGGCTGAGGATGTTACAAACTAGGGACCATGGCTCCCTGATGCATTACTTAGTTAAAGTTCTGACCTTCTCAAATTGACACAATGGACAATAGCCCAAAATGGTAACTGCTTCTTCTCTATATCCCAGGATGTAGAGCTGCTGAGTCACTTAGCTAAGCTTCTAGACTTCTCAAGTTGACACACTGTAAAAACCATAACGTAAGTACTCCAACTACTTCTAAGTCTCTATTTGATATTTGCCCTCACTCTGTTTTGAACAACTAGAAAGCAGTGGTTTAGTGCTAAGCAATGTTATCTTCTTTAAACATGACTGTTGTAGCTGAGATTAATTATAACTTGTGCTTTAAAAAAACTATTGGAGTTAACAATTTGATTTTTCAGGGAACTAGTAAAAGGTGGTTAGTGTGACCCAGACTATTATCTGACCCATTTCCACATATCCCCTATCCTTTCTGGAGTGTGTCACCTCAAGGATACCTTAGAGATATTTAAATCAAGTACGAATTAAAGGCATGCCAATTCTTTCTTTAGTGTTCACAAATGAGAAAACAGATGTCAAAATCTCTTGCTCCTTTTGAATGTATTCTATTTTCTGTTTTTGCATTTTTATTTTAGAAAGAAAAACAGAATTTCAAAACAAGATTAATAGTAGAGCAACAATAATTAATATGTTGTGTGTATTATTATCTTCAGAGTAGTTACTCAGAGTATAAGATACAGGCATGGGATATTGCCCAAACAAAACTAGCATAAACCTTTCTTTTCAGTAAATATATTGGTTATTTTTCTCTCATTATTGGGACAAAACACTTGGCACCCCAAATGAAAGAAGCAAAGGTTTATTTAGCTTACAGTTTGTGGAAGTTTCAGCCTATAATCAGCAGGCTTGAAGGCAGGGTGGCATGGCAAGACTTCAAGGAAGAAGACAGGAAAAGCAGCCAGAGCAAAAGAGGAGGAATATTAAGCCTCTTTTCTTCTCTTGTATTGTATACAGCCCACCACCACCCTTCTCTAGGGTAGGTGAGGCACCCACAAAATCTCTGTACCTTCCTCTTGTTCAGGATGGGGATATCTACAAAGTAAAGATCCTGGATACCTTCTGAGGCTTTCAGTTAAAGTTTTAAACTTCTCAAGTTGACACACTATATCAACCAATATCTACAAAGTAAAGATCCTGCATACCTTCTGAGGCTTTCAGTTAAAAGTTTTAAACTTCTCAAGTTGACACACTATATCAACCATAACAATGAAATAAGAGACACTAGAAGTATAACTCTTTTTTCCATTTTATTCCATTTATTTTTTATTGTTTCAGTAAATATTTACTTTTTAAATATTTTTCTTGATTCAAGCAAAGATGGCTGATAGATAACAGCTGGCTACAGAAGCTCCTTGAGATAGTCAACTTAGAATTCAACATAATACAGTGTGGGGAGCTCCGAACAGAAGGAGATGAATTATCTTGTTCCAAGAAGAAATTAAGTAGAGAAGAACCAATTAAACATACGGTACCTGTGCTATTATTGGAACAGCTAAAGGTTCAGTGCTCCCACCACAGCGGGCAACTTGCCAAGCCATTCAGGGTCTCACAGATTCAACTCACTGGAGGCGCAGTCACACTGAAGTTGGGGGTCAGCCAGCTGAATAGAGAGCTGAGCTGGTGGGGAGCCCACATCGACCTGTGGTGAGTGATGGGAGTGGAGCCATTCCACAGAAAGGGGGGCACCAGTGGATGGCATTCTGGGAGTGGGCAGGACTGGCAAGTACAAGGGCCAGCAGTGACTTCAGTCAGTTGTTCCCTTCCCAAACAGGATTGGTGGAGTGAGCTAGGCCTTGGTCACGCTACCTGGCTGAGACCCAATAGGTTATCCAAAATCAATTCCCTACAGTGGCAGCACTGTAGGCACACTAGTGCAGTAAAGACCTCAGAAGTTTGACTGACCCAGAGGGGAAACGTCTCACAGTTATAAAGTGCAGGCCACAGCAGCTTGACTGATCCAGAGGGGAGGGGCCAGCATACACTGCCCCTGTTTGCAACTCACTAGCACATGGCAGTGGGAAGGGTCACCTAGCCAACATGCTTCAGAAGAATTGTGACCAACAAAGAAAAAAACTGGGGACTCCTGTAAGAAATAAAAAAGATAGGAA